CGAATGGTGTAGTCGCGGAAGTCCAAGACCATCCCAACGTTCTGCATGATCTGGGTCCCTATAATCAGATCATAGTGATTGAGAGACGCGACGTCAAAGTAAAAGTTGTGCACAGTGGGACCAATAGGTACGGGCAGCCGCATGCCATAGTTAACCTTTGACCGTGAACCCGAACAACCCAGTTGCAGGGTGATAGGGTTTGACAACGGGAAAGGCTTGAGCCCTGTGACTTTAGTGAAGTCAGAGCTTATGGCGTTGATCATGCTGCCGGTGTCGATAAGAACGTACGCCTCGAGGTTATTAATCTTGAAGTACACCCTCATTGTTTTCCCTCGCGCCGCCAGGTGCTCCTGGGCCGTTGACATGGCCTTCATGGACGAGCAATAACCGAAGGTCTCGGTTATTGCACAGAATATATGGTCGCTCTTGCCGTCATCGTAGTACTTGTTATTAGGGAACTTGTACAGCTCCAGAGGAGGTGCAGGCTCAGGAAGGTCTTTGATAATCTCCTCGTAGCGCGTGTGCTCAATGAGGTCTCAACTCTCTGCAAGCGTAGGGACTGCCCGCTCAGGGTCGAATAGCCTGGCCATGCTACGTCCTTCTGGACGCTGCGCGGTAACCCTGCTATGTATACGACAGGTTATGTTGTGGCAACAATTATTGCACATATTAAAATGCTTGATAACCAAGCTCATGGAGTCATCTGGAATATGCATGTCAATAGCGCGGACTAGAGTTTGCACTTCCTCCCTAAGCGCCATATTGTTGAGATAATAATTCTCGAACAATACATTCAGCGCATCGGCATGCAACATGAGGTTGTGATAATTATTTCTCATGCCCTCCAGCTCGTCTTGCTCAGTTTGATCAAGAGGTACGTCTGTGAACGTTTGGACGAACTGGACGTCAAAGAGCGTAGGCTCCCCGAGCTGAAGTTTGGCCATTGTTTCAGAGGCTCGATGCATGGTGTCACGCTGTCGACGCGATGCCCTCACTCGTTCAGCTTCAATGTTGCTTATGAGAGAACCGAGAGTAGCATTGGTTCTCTTGAGATGGCGTCAAATATGCTCGACAAATTGGTCGTGGGCCATAAGGTCAGAGAGGGCCAGCACGTCTTCCAGATTGACCGTCCCCATAATCTCATTCTGCTCTTTGTTCCAGTGAATAGGCGTATAACCAGCCGTGTTTATTGCCTGGTTAAACGTTACATGGGACAGAGTGTCAGGATCTACCATGTTGGCGGGTAGCGTAGGAGAATCCGGACTAATCATAGCCTCTGGATCCTGCGTGCGAACTGGTTCATTATCGAGCACAACTGTCGGCTGCTTAGAAGGTCCGGCACCATCGTTATGAGTAGGACGCTGCCAGTCTGCAATGTTTATTGTGTTGAACTTGTATACAGATTCAGACTTGAAGGAAGGTATATTCTCCTCCGATTCAGACTCATATTGGGAACCTATTACTCTGGACGAGCGTCCATTATCTGAAGCATAGTTGAGAGAGGCACCTGCTTCCAGGTGTCCTTCGTCTGACACTTCAGCGTTCTTGTCTTGTTCATTATGAGGAAGAGAGCCAGTAGCCTGGCCTGCTTCCTCATTGCCTTTGTTCATGACGTCGAGGCATCTTAGGGACTGCTTGTTAGCCATTGAACACTTGGGGTCTGAGGCATAGTGACCGGTGCGGTTGCATTGGTAGCACACTACTTTGGACTTATCGACTGGCGCAGCCTTAGCCTCGCCCTGATTGAGTTAGTTCGAAGACGGACGCAGACAATCTTGTTGCTCACATCGGTCTCTATGGCCATCGCTGTCGCGTTTGGGTCATTTGCAAGAGCGCTGCAGTATTTCTCTACAATAATCGCAAGGGAAATGACCAGACTGATTTTCTGAGGACCACCTTGACGACTCTCAATCACTGCAGGAAGGTGCATCACCCTGGGTCTTCGAAGATGATGGTGCTGCCACCATCTTTGCTGACATCATGGATGCCTGTCATTTCTGCTGAGTCTCTGCGCTGGCATCAAGGTCCTCGATCCGAAGGGCACTCTCGAGAAGCCTTTCAGCACTCAAGTTCTTGGAGTTTCGTCTCTGAAGTTCTTTGATCCGGGTAGATATAGATATTGGGAGTCCATCCATGAACCGTCAGGCAAATGAATACGAGTCCGGGTGGACAACCATTTGCCTGGCGTACTTGTTCAGGTTTTGGAAGAACCCCTTCACCCCAGTACAAGATGAGTAGCGCACAGAATCAAACTTGTAGGCTGCATCCTTAATTGTACTGGACTTCACAAAGCGCAAGTACATTGAGCAGAAGGTTCCTGCCAACATTGCTCTGTGATCCCCTAGTACTAGGAGATTCGGTTCGATATCCTCGCGGAACCAAGTGGCAGGCTCGCCTTCCAATTGGTTCTCCAAGAACAGGACTGCCTCTGACTCTAAGTCGGGTACGTCTAATCTAGCAAGGTACATGAACCAAACAAACTTCAAGAAGAACGTCCAAAATTCGTCGTGATCAGAGCTGCCACCATATGTGGCAGTGATCTCTGATTTTACCTTGACTGAGGAAGGGAGCTTAAGTAGCTCTCTTCCTAAGTTTCAGTTGATATGGTCTCCTATAGCTGTGAAAACTGACTCGACAAGGGCAGGCACAGTTGCATTCGCAGGAGGCCGTGCGACGTGGACGGACGGGCCAACATGGACGGATGGATTATAACTCCATCCTGCCAAATTGGCAGTTCCAATGGCCGCCGCTGTCCTCTTCCTTGTCATCTTAGAGGCTGCAGTTGCTTGTTGCGCGTACCCGGAGATGGATGATAGTGAGGCCATCATTGAAGGTACAGGATTTATCTGAATGTTTGATGGCCCTGCTTGTCCACTTTGTTGTGGTTGAACGCCTTGCCCTGCATGCACTTGTGGTCGCGCACGTTCAGGCGTGGATTGCTTTGATGGTCCTGCGAAGGAGGTGGTATGGGCTTTGCCATCCCCTTCTTCGCTTTTGGAGTCTTGCTCTTCTGTGTCATTGTTGGGCTTACCTTCAGGTTTGTCATCTGATCCATCGCTCCCATCATCCCCACCTCCCCTGTCATTACCCCCCTGTCCTCCATGTCCACCGCTATCACCGTGGTTCCCTCCTTGGCCCTGTTTGTCAGGTCCATCCTCATCCAAACAGGCAGCGCTATCAGCTGTCTTGTTCAGATCAGGGTGTAAACTGGCTCAGCGAAGGCGTTCATTCGAGCTTAGACCATGTTGGGCTTGCATGGCATAAGACAGAGGCTCTGAGATGGGAGGAATTCTTCCATTGTCTGGAGGATTCCCCACCCTTTGGTGCATGTTTAATTAATCATGTGGCAGTAACTACTACGGTGTGCAATGTATTACTTACTAGTAACTGAGCTAGCAACCGTGTAGAGCCTGTAGAGCCTCTCTGGCACCTCTCGGCATGCTATATATGGTGTTTCCATCAACTGGGATTGAAATATAGACCACATTGGGGAGACATACCATAATATACCACTTTGGGCGCTTGTTTTTGTTTTATGACATGGGAAGGTGG